TTTGGTTGTAATATTTGGACATTGCTATTTGTTACGTGACTCGTCCCCATTTGTAATAATTACCCCCATTCCCGGATACTTTTGTAATATCTTAGACTTTTAATTCCCGCAATTTATTGCTTTCTATATACTGTGTAGTAATTAGGCATGTATGACAAGATTCAAAAATCAATCGCTATATGACCTAATCCAAGAATAAATAACTTGAAATCAACACACTTCTCACACGCGCACCTCTAGGGTAACCTTGCTTGTTGCCTCGGAAATACAATCATGTCCCTCGAATATGAGACACTATAGCAAATGACCCTTCAATAACAAAGATCATAGTCCCTCGATGACCCTCGATGTTGCCTTTGATAAAACGATCTCGTCCCTTACAAAATTGCTAGAGCGTCTCACAAGTTGCCTTCAATGATCGTAAAATTGACCCGCGCATGTCCCTTCATCTCCTAGGATGGGGCTTATTACCAAATTAATGGTAAGATAACACCATTAAAAGGAAGAAAAAAGAACAATTTAAGACCTTTCGAGTAGATAGATTCGCTCTTAATTACTCGCTTGCTCACGACAAAAACTTTCACACCTAAACTTCCATTTCAAAACATTTTCAAAAGATAAAACGTTTTGTATACATTCTTATAGAGACGAGAACCATTACGAAACCTTTTTTCAAAACACGATCCACAAACACATCTTTGAACCATTTTTTGAAACAAAACTTTGTATATGTTCTTATAGAGACGAGAACCATTACAAAGAAACTTTCCAAAATACTTTCAAAAACCACACCACAAGCACACAATCAAAACAAAAGCAAGTGATCTAAAATAAGTAACTAAGAGCCCATGGAAAACCATGGATGAAAAGGGTGCTAGCATCTTCCCTTTTCATAATCTATCCCCCGAACCCGAGAAAATTCTCGAAAGGTCTTTCTTGTGCTTTTTACCTTTCCTTTTGGATAAAAGAAAAGTCGATGACGACTCTTGCTAACCGCATAAGTGAGAACGAAACGCAAAACCTCTAGTCAGTTCTCCCACCGTATCACAATTTTGTAATATGTTGTAATATTTGCTTGCATCGACTCATAACAACATGTATCGACTCATTCTGTGTTACATAACTAACATGAGTCGACTCATGCTAACATGAATCGACTCATAATATGAATTTCTGTCTCTAACCGTTTTCTGTTACATATATAAGTAAGTTTTTTCAGCAGCAAACAACATGACACATATTGCAATTGTGTGCATCAATTCTGAGCAGCAAGAAGCCTGAAAGATACTTCATCTTCATCATCTTCTCAATCATCTTAATTCAACAACAACAATGAAAATCAAACATCTTTGTTCAATTGGATCAAGAGAACACGAGACAATGTTTAGCTGTGCATTCAAGGAATCTAAATTGGGTTGAAGATTCTGAAGGGGGTTTCGAGGAAAAACTAAGGGGTTTGTCCTTCAAGAACGAACGTGCTCTTGAGGGTTTGTTAGTCACAACACAAGTCAGATTTAGCCGTAGCGAGGGTTTTGGAAATCAGAGAGATTTTTGCAAATAGGTCGTGGAAGTGGAGGATCGGTTGTGGATCTTGCAGGGAATCTTGATAAGGCTCATATCAAGTGGAGGTTCTTACAAGAAGAAAAAGATCTTAGGGATTTCTTTCTGTCTATGTAGTGTAACCGTGTATTCAAACATTCAGCAAAATTGTTATAAGAGTTCTCAATTTCAATTTTGAAATTGAGAGGGAAACGCACCCACACGCGAGGACGACAGTGGGGAACTTCCTTACCAAACGGCTTGCGTATTGTTTTTTCTCTCTCTATCTCTTTACATTTTCGACAATTTTGTGATTCAATTGGCTTGCTGAGTTTTCTGTTTAATGATAAAATAGTGGTTCAAATACTTTCATCAAATCACCATTATTAATCATCAAACAAGCATACGCCAACCGTTTGACAAAATTGCTTACAAGTTTTAATTCATTGGAAACATTGTTCTAATGATAAGTGCATTAAAAACTTTAAGTAATCTGTGTTTAAGATTCATCTATTTCATACTAATAAAATCCAACAAGTTTATCGCATGTCCGGTTTTTTATTAGTTGGTTCAAAATAGACGGAAGTTGATTCTGGACCTTACTTTTCTGTTGCTTTTAACAAACTTTGATAAACGATTTTAAATCCTTGAAGAATAAGGAGGTGATCTATTCACCCCCTCTCGATCACTTGCCGCACTGTCTAACACGAACAAGTTAACGTTCTCCCTTAAGCAGGCTTTGAGTTGCTTCCTCACCAGGTCGGGGAGTCCAGCGCCAATCTTGACACCTTTGTGAGGGTCTTCACCGAGGGGGATAAACTCGAAGTCTCCATCTGGGATGGGTCGGAGAGGAACCTGTTCGCCATTGGGGGCTTCGACTTCATCTTTGTCAAAGCAGTTGTCGAGCAAAATGGAGCCGACCTTTGGTGGAGCCTGTTGTTCTTCGATCCGAGCAGGCTTCGATTTAAGTCGAGCAGTGGTTGCTCTTTTGGCGGGTCGCGCTCCAGTGTCGACCATGCTTTGCCCTTTGGAAGCCGCATGAAAACATCTCCTAGCAGCCAAGATGTCTCCATGGATGGTGGCGATGCGGGCCCTCCTGGTGTAGAACTTCATTTTCAAATGGACTGTGGAGGGTACGATGGTTAGCTCGGCCAATGTCGGTCTCCCCATAATGCAGTTGTAGAGAGACAGGTAGTCGATCACCAGGAACCACATCTTGACTTGTCAGGATGCAGTTTCTTCCACGAAGGTGACAAAGAACTCAACATAGCCCCACGGTTTAGAGATTGATTCATTGAATCCTTGCAGGTTAGAACCCACTTATGGTGACAGGTGGGTATCGTTGAGATATAGGGTATAAAACATATGATTGTACATGACATCGACAGAACTCCCCTTGTCGACCAAACTGCGATGTACGTCGAAGTTGGCCATCTGTGCCCTCACCAGCTGGGGAATGCTTGAGTTTGGGGCTCCGTCGGGTAGCTCCTCAAGGTAGAAAGTGATTGGCTCATATTTTCCTTTGAACCTTTCAAGGGTTACTTCCTGGGTTGGGGCTGCATCCACCAACTCGTCGAGTTTCCTTTTTGCCGAATTTACTAAGATGTCGTTGAATCCCCCGCCAGATATGACCATGGCGGAGGGGAACTTCTCACATCTGTTGTGTGTGGATAGGGGTTCATCTTCATAACTGTCAGGGATGTGGAAGTCCTCGGGCCTCGTCACAGAGAAAGCCACCCGGAGGGGAACCGATTCATCAGATGGTCAGGTTTCTTTCTCGATTTCCTTTACCTCGTGGGTATCTCGACGAGGGGCATCGTTTCGTCTGTACTTCCCGAGTCTCCCACCCTTGATAAGAGTCTCGATGGCATCCGTCAAGTGCATGTGGCTCTGATGGTACTAACAATATTTTGTTTTGTCTGCCCTAGGCTTTGCAGGAGCAGGTCGAGGACGTCTGACGCTGCCATCCTTGAACTCGATATTAGAGCACTCCACAAGGATACACTCACGGGAAGCAGTCAACGGGATGTATTATGTGAATTGTCCTACTGGTCCTCTATGATCGCAGGGATCGCGCGACTTCTCCTCCCTTTTCTTCTCCCTAGTCCACCAAGGAGGGCCCACGTTCTGGTGTTGCTGAATGTTAGCTGGTTCGTGGTTCTCGAATCACGGGCTCTATTGGTTGCATCTTTCTCCTCGTAGTCCATGTATGCCCGAGCCTTTTCGAGGATAGCGTCAAAAAAACTTGGGGGGCTCAATGCCGACAACCTTTCTGAATTCAGTGCCCAAAAGGAGTCCCCTCTCAAGCAGGTATCTTTTCATGTGATCAGCGCACAAGACCTGAATGGCCTCGCGGTTGATCCGATCAATGTATTCCCTGAGGGTTTCGTTGCTTCTCTAGACAATTGCCTCGAGGGCGGCCTCAGTCTTCGGATGTCAACGGGACGCGGTGGAGCTGCTGATGAACTGGTTTTTGAGGCTTCTCTAGGAGGTAATCGACCCGGGGGAGAGGTTCTTGTACCAGTCCATGGCTATTTTTCTCAGTGTCATGAGGAACAACCCGTATTTGATTAGCCCTCCGACGTTGTGGTAGTGGAGCATTGCTACAAACTCGTCGATATGGTCGACAAGATCAACAATGCCATCACACTCCTTTAGTAGGGGAGGTTTCTCCATTCCCCTAGGAATGAGAGCCTTCATAATGGCTTGGGATAATGGACCGCGGGGGTCGTCTTCGTCACTTTTGTCTGAAGAGCAGGAGGGGGACCGATTGAGGTGGCGGTCGTTGTGGCGTCCTTAGCTGTGGAGAGGGTCCCTTGGCCGAGATTGTCTTTCTCCATTTCCCCTGTTTCTGTTATGTTTAGGGGATCGTCGTTCCCTGCGCGCGCGCGGGGGAGGGGGGGGTGGGGGTGGGGGGTGGGGGGTGGGGGGTGGGGTGTGACCGCACCTCCTCGCAGCTTCAGGCTGGCTCCTCTCTAATGCAGGGCCTCGCCCAGTTCGTGGGGGAGAAGGGCTTCATGAGCCATCCCGTTTGTGTCTCTACGGGGGAGATCGTAAGCGGTCCTCGTTCCGTCAGGGAGAGGTGTGTCAGGCCTCCTGTGTCTTCTAGGGGGCCGATGAATCTGCTCGAGCATCGTCAGACGCTCACCCCTGTGAGAAGATCATTTAGTTGGTCTAGTTGATTGCCGTGAACAAAGCTCTGGTCGAGGCGCCAACACCTGTCGGGGCGGGGATTTCCTGATATGTATTCAGTACATAGTTCTGGAGGATGATAGTCGTCCTCACGTGGTTGTGAGCGGGTTGATGAAGAGGCGGTCAATCCGTCTCTGTAGTCTTGCTCGGGACCGACCATGTCGTTGTTATTGGTTGCATTATTGTTGCCAACGCTGTTGTCGCCGACATCATTGTTGTTGGGGTCGACGAGATGGGCATTTTGGTTATTGTCGACAGCTTGGTCGGCCATGACAATCGTATGATTTGATGAAGAGTTGCTTTGGTCTTGAGATGGAGACAGAGAAGCTAGATTCTCATAGACGGTGCCACTAATCGTACCTGATCAGAAAGGATTGTCAAAGTCCCCAAGCTTCAAGTGGAGCAGCAGTTGAATGTGAAGTGGGGGATACCTACAAGACACTCTGATGCCAAAGTGACATTCATAGTAAATGTAAGCAAGTATGAAAGTATGAGTAAGTGAATGAATACCTGACCCCTCTCAAGTGAGAGGGTATTTATAACCCCCAGTGCTGGACCAAGGTCCCCATTGTTGGGCTGAGCAAGCAGACTTAAAATGGAGACTGCCAGGTCCTACGTGCGTAGTGGGGACCAGCACGTGGTTCTCAACCTAGACGGACTCCTCTGAACTATCAGGAGGATATTGATGCAGTCTTTTCGGGGCCAAGAAGACTCCGTGACATTATGAGGTGTTAAGTGACCTACAAGGAGGATGCTCGCGAGGTCCTTTTGACCGTCGTTGGTCCTCCTCGCCAGTTGTGAGGTTATCCCCGAAGGACCTGTCTTGATCGACGAGAAGAGTGGAGGATGCTCAAGAGGTCCTTCTGATCGTCATTGGTCCTCCTCGCCATTCATAGGTTTATCCCCGTAAGACAAAGCCAGGTCGACCAGAAGAGTGAAATCATTACCCGACATGGTCGAGGACATATTATTTTCTACTGGCCTTGTCTGATGTTTGGGGCAAGTGCAACCTCAGTCCAGAACACATATTAATAATTATAGTGAGTCAAATGTAATAAACATTGTTATTTTTATAAACGGAAAACAATTTACTATTAATTGAAATATTTTGATAACGAAATCAATATTTATATACGAAAAAATAGAAATTAAAAAATTATTTTTATATTAAATTAAAAGAATAAAGTTAAAAAAAAATAAATTTTCAAATAATAAAAATATTTTTATAAGAGAAAACAAGTGATGCACTGACAATGTAAAATATTTTTATATTGTCAATCAATCACAATTATGTATCTAATTATACTCCATTTTTATTTTAAATTTTTTTAATAATATATTAAATTGTTAAATTTCTATTAATTAATTGTGTAAAAAAGATTTATAATAACAATGTATAAAAATGATTATCTTTTTATAAATAAAAAAATATATTATCGATAAAAATATTTTTTTTGTGTAACACTGATAAGAAAAAGACAGATTATAATTATAAACCATAAATAATTATAAAATATTTTTTTAATTTAATAAATTTTGTCAAATGTCTCGGCACAGGTATACATACATTAGTAAAATAAATTTTAACTACTTATTTCATTATTTTTTTTTACTGTAATAAAAAAAATCAACTAAAACCTTTTCTACCCAAAAAACTAAAACCCTAAAACCAACTAGCAGCTCCCTCAGTTGACAGCTCTGCCTTTGTGGCCTAACAATTCGGAGTCGCATTCCGATCTCAACGCTGCCGGAGTCTTCGTCGGCCGTCGTAAACCGTGAGCTTCCATCTCTTGCTTTTCACTTTAACTCAGTTTTTCATTCTCCTCTCCCTTAGCGAGCGTGGATGCGAATTATATTGAAAAGTTAGGGTTGTTACTTATGATGTAGAAATTATGTTGAATTTGAATATGGTTGGGAATCGTGATCTTTCAATTTTATTGACATTTATATGTTTGATTTTTGCTGAACTATGTTTACATTGAATTATTTCCAGGTTGTACGTGATCCGCAATTTGAATGTCTTTGTGGTAAACTTAATATTGAAGGGTATGTTCACTTTTGGACATTTGTTCTTCCTGTATTGTGTGTTTTTTGTTCTTGTTAAGAAATGATGTAATTTTAGGCATTTTTAGACTGGTTAAAGTCAATGTGATTTTGGTTGGACACTTACATTTTTTATTTTACTTAAAGCATCTCAAGATAAGTGACATTCCTTAACTTTTTCTATATCAACTAGCTCAGAACCCTCACTTAAAGCACATATGTGGCGATTTTGAACACTCTAAAAGGTTTTGGATGGAAAAAAGAGTTTTGAAGTGTCCCCAGGGATTCAGTTTGGAGTGGGAAAATTGTTCTTCAGAGTATAGTAATAGAAGGATAAATGGCTGGGGGAAAATGGAAAAACACGAACGAGGCAACTTAGTGAGAATGAGTTGAAGCAGATTTCGGTAGATAATTTCACACGAAAGTCATGTTGATATCAATAACAAAATTCCATGCCATAGATAATTATTTTTTATAAACAAACTCATATCCCGGCTCAAATGATATTGAGCTTTATGTATTCTTCTATTATTTATACACGTTTCTCTGGGAGAATCATTTAGTATCTTCTTTCTAGGTGATGCTATAGATATTTCTTGACTTCTGCATTTTTTTAGTATATTATGTTTGATTACTGCTAGATTGTGTAGGTGAACAATTGAGTGCTAGTTTCTTTTTCTTATGTTGCTATTTTTTAACTTCAAGGTAGTTCTTTTAACTAATCAGGATAGCATGTTTCCTTTAATGCGAACTGTGTAGCATTAGTAATATATGTATTTGGCCTTACAGGTTAACAAGGAGATATTGAAAATGATCTTCAGGCTGAAAGACAGGTAGTTTTCTAGATTGTACTTGTAGATTTCTGTATGGCTTATTTGTAACTATCAGTGTAGCTGAACTGTCATATGATTCCAAATAGTTGGACCTGAATGATATGCACCTCCCAATTAAGTTGAATATTTCATTGCTTATTTATTGTCCCCCTTTTTTGAACTTCAACTATTTATTCATTGCTGTGGATTCTGGAGGCACATACTAAATAGACATGGTTAATTGACAGTAAAACTGTTCACAGAGAGAAGAGAAAAAGAAGAAAAATAATATTCTCATTTTAATTTTGGTCCTGCTTGTATCTGTTTAATGCTAGTCAAATTACTTGCTTACCAAGGTGTTTAAATATATATCCTTACTTATTCCCAAACTGATGAATCGTTGCATACATATATTATATTTGTAGTTCCCAAATCAAGATTATTTGGCTTGAGGGGTAGAGTAGTCTATTTCATTTTGGTATTGATTTGCCTTTTGTTTGTGTTTTCTGAACTTTTCCTGCATTAAGACACAAATTTTCTTGTTTTAAAATGCTTGAAACTGGTTTACAAAATAACCAACTTTTTCTGAACGCTTTTTAAAAATGAACCTAAAGTATTGTTTGGTTGCAATTAGGTTTGGTTTATTGACCATGCATACCCCTATTCGGAGGTGCCTGCAAGCGTTAACCCGCACATCACAACCAACATTATCTCTCTTCAAAGACCCGTCATCTCTTCGCTCACTCTCTGTGGCTGCGTTTCCTAATCACGACAGTTCGTCACCCCTTCCCATTTTCACCAATTCCAAACCCACATCTGCTTTTGGACAATGGTATCACCCACGCTATTTCTCTTCTTCCAAACAAGACAATCACATAAAAAAAGAAGATATACAGGAAGAAGTAGAAGATGAAGACGGCAGCGATGACGGTGATTATGACGACGAAGAGGAAGATTATGAAGATGATGATGATGATTGTGTTTCTGTATCAAGTAAAAAAAAGGTGTACACAGCAGAGGAGAAGGAAGCAGAAGCAACAGCTATTGGATACAAAGTGGTGGGGCCCCTACAAAAGGACGACCAGGTTTTTAAGCCATATGAGCCCGCTTTTGCCGTTGTTCAGGTTCATTTCGCAAACTTTATTTGATCACATATATCAATGTTCCATTTTTTGTTTTAGTAATGAGCTTTGTCCCCTTCATTTGGTTTAGATTGGTTCTCATCAGTTTAAAGTGAGCAATGGGGACAGCATTTTCACAGAAAGATTGAAATTTTGTGAAGTGAATGACAAGGTGCGCATTCCTTTTGTTTGCCAATTATTTTGGCTGTTACTTGTGATGGAAAAGTATCAATCAGATTTAAAGTAAATTTTTCATTGCAATTTATCTGACCTGGGATGTTGTATACTTGCATGATAGTGAGTGCTAATAAGCTCAATGTTTTATAGACGCTAAACTGGGACGATTATGTGAATACATAAGATAAGTAGGCACTGAATGCATTAGAGAGAAAATCAGGTGGCATGTATGGTGCAAATTATGGTAGAATCTTGTTGTAAGCTATTTGGAGATGTTTGGAGATGTTTGGAGAAGGACTATTAAAGCCCCGCTAAGTAAGTTGGTTAAATGGAGGGGAATTAGACAAAAATCTATGAGCCAAACTATTAAGAAAGGCTTTAGATTTAAATGGTTTGCAATTAGACATGATATACAATGTGAGGATCATGGGGTTACTTGATCCGTTTACCAACTCTATTGTCGTTAGTTTTGTACAAGTTGTTGCTTACAATTTTTGTATAGCTCTGTAAAATTTTCAACTAGTTTTAGATACACCCTGTAATTGCACTATTGCAGCATATCTCTATCAGTTTGTGTATGCTATTAATCTTATTGAATACTAATCAGTGACTTGTTTTTGTGAAGTAATATTTTTTAAAATTTTCTTTTTGTTATGTAATTTTTCAAGCCAGTTAATTGAATATACCGTTGCATTTTCTTGGCTCACTGCAGTTGATTCTGAATAAAGTTCTGTTGCTTGGATCTGCTAGTCAGACAATTGTTGGCAGACCAATAGTGCCGGATGCAGCTGTTCATGCTGTTGTTGAGGAGCATGTAAGTGTAGAATTATCAGTTTCAAATAAATTTGATATGCATAATGCCTTCTCATTTTGAGAATAGGAATGGGATTTTTTTAGAATAGAGTAGTGATTCCCCCTTCTGTTTTATGTTCTATTTACTCTAGTTTGCATTTGTTTGTCTTCAGTTTTATGTTCCATTTATTCTCTAGTTTGCTTTTTTTATTCTCTTTCCACATTGATATTTGAAAGCTGTCAAAATTGCGACTAAATGACATAATTTCCTCTAATTGACAAAATTAATGGAATTATATATACTTCATTTAATTATTGTATATGCACACAGTTCTGCTCAATATGAACCTTCAAACTAAAGAAAGAAAAACTAGTTAGCTAGAGCCTTCAAACTAAGCAAAGTAAACCTTCACTAATTACTGTATTTTGTATGTTAATACTTTATTTGTAATCTTCAGTTCATGTCTCTTTTTATTTTCCTGCCAAAGCATAGATAGAAATATTATTGCCAAAATAATAAAGTTCAAGAAAGAAGAGGGGTAGATCTTGTATGCATCCAAAACTACCAAGATAGAAGATCAATCAAAACTAAGATAAACAAACCATGTAAGCCCCTAAATCTCAACACATCTTCCATGACCTTAATTACGATGTGGTGCATCCTTGGAAATTGAAGGAGCATTTTGGAGATACAAGAAAACAAATGATCCTTGACTGTTTAAGAACCTCGGTTAATCATAAAACAACACATCATTAATTTTAGATATACAATAAAATAAATGATCCTTGACTGTTAAGAACCTCATAACAACACTGCATTACAAATAAAACATATAGTCTCTTAATTGCTTGCTATAATCTTGAGATTTTAAAATGGAAGCTTGTTTTTACATGTTGAGAGGCTAAGGTGCTTTGCTTAATTGATGCTTTTTTTTTTGGTCTCTTTGCCTTTTTTATTTAAGAAAAAGATGGAGTTTTGGGATCCTAATTCTTAATTATAAGAAAAAGTCACAAACTTCAATATTATTAATTGCTAAAATTACTTTGATATCTTTTCTACCCATTCTACGCTTATGATAGATTCTGACTAGTAATGATAGAGAAAGGGTAGAACAATATACATGAATACAGTATGTTATTGCAGTTATATCAGAAATAACTTCCTGCATTAACAGTTACAAACTGTAACAGCAGTTACAACACACATAAATAACTGTAAGATTAAATACAACCACTAGTATTAGAGAGCCTAGTCTCTCCCAAACCAAACCAACCAAATAACAAACTGAATGAGAGACTTTCTCATTCTTTATTCTACTTATATACATGACATATAATTAAATAATTTGGGCCTAACTTACTGGGCCTTTGGGCCTACGCCTAGCATACACATTAGTAATTGGAGGTCTACTAACAATACTCCCCTCCAAAAGTTTCACCTTGTCCTCAAGGTGAAAATCAGGAAATTGTTGATTGATGATCTCAAAAGCTTCCCATGTTGCTTCAAATTCTGGTAAGTCCTTCCATTGAATGAGCACCTCCACAACGTTGGCAGCATTAGTACGGACAGCCATGAGCACTTGAGGTTTCACTTGAAGTTCTAAATCTTCTGACAGCATAGGTGGTAATGGTTGAGGATTCGGGACTGGTGTGACAGCTTTCTTCAACAGTGAAACATGAAAGACGGGATGAATCTTACTTTCAGCAGGAAGGTCTAATTGATAGGCAACCAAACCGATGAGCTTAGTAATTCGATAAGGACCATAAAAACGAGGACTAAGCTTTTCATTGATCTTCTTTGCCAAAGATTTGAGTATATAAGGCTGCAATTTGAGATAAACCCAGTCCCCAATAGCGAATGATACATCTTTCCGGTGTTCATTGGCTAGAGTTTTCATTTGGTTTTGGGCTTTGGCCAAGTTGTAATGAAGATCATGCAGAATGATGTTGCGTTCTTGAGTCAACCGGTTAAATTCCTCCACTGCTGAAGGAACAATGGTACCCTTAACCAATTGTGGTGGATCACGGCCGTATAAAGCTTTGAAAGGAGTGGTCTTGGTTGAGTTGTTGTAATTGGAATTAAACCAAAATTCTGCCCAACCCAGCCACTTGACCCATTGCCGTAGTTTGTGCCTGGTTAAGCATCTCAAATAGGTCTCCAAGCACCGATTTGTTACCTCAGTTTGGCCATCTGTTTGAGGGTGATAAGCTGTACTGAACTTCAATTTGGTACCAGCCATTTTGAATAATTCTGTCCAGAAATGACTCAGAAAAATCTTGTCCCGATCAACGACTATGGTAGAAGGAAAACCATGAAGTCGAACAATATCTTGCAGGAAGATTTCAGCTACTGACTTAGCATTAAAAGGATGGCTAAGAGGCAAAAAATGAGCATATTTAGTGAATCTGTCAACCACCACTAAGATAACATCCTTACCTTGACTTTTGGGAAGCCCTTCGATAAAATCCATTGATATATCGGCCCAAACTTGAGAGGGGATTGGAAGTGGTTGGAGAAGACCAGCAGGGGATAAGGTTTGGTATTTATTTTGTTGGCAAATAGCACAAGAAGCCACAAAATTCTGAATATCTTTCTTCATCCCTTCCCAATAAACCAAGGCACCTAACTGTTTATAAGTGCGGAAAAATCCTGAATGACCACCTACTGCGGTAGAATGGTATTCATTTAGTAGTTTGGGAATTTTGGAAGAACTCTGGGGTAAGACTAACTTGCCTTTGTAGAATAGCTTCCGATTTTGGAAGGTATAGTTTGGGTGAGTACTGGAATCCTGCAACAAATCGTGAATTATGCCTTGGAGTTTAGAATCAGCCAATACCTCTGCTTCCCATTCTTCCAAATCAGCGAAGTGTATCACAGAAACTGCAGCATAAGTCATGCGACGGTTATCACTACCGGGTGCTCAGTTATCACTACCGGGTTTGTAAACAATATCGAAACCAAAGCCCATTAATTTAGAAGTCCATTTGAATTGGTCATCACCCAAAATGCGCTGATCAATGAGGAACGTCAAACTCTTCTGGTCAGTGTGAATAATAAAATGGCGTCCCATCAAGTAATGTCTCCATTTCTGAACCGCCATGACAATAGCCATAAGTTCTTGCTCATAGACAGATTTTCGTTGTGCCCGGTCAGATAAAGTTTGGCTTAAAAATGCTACTGGACGACCCTGCTGCATTAATACGGCGCCTAAGCCTTTGTTAGAGGCATCTGTCTCAATAACAAAGGGAAGAGAAAAACCTGGTACAGTAAGGATGGGTAATTCAGCCATGGCGTTCTTCAAAATCGCAAAGGTAGCTTGTGCTTCCCCATTCCAACCGAAACTGTCTTTCTTAAGAAGTGGAGTGAGAGGTCTTGCAAGCTTCCCATAATTTCGAACAAACCGGCGATAGTAACCTGTGAGACCTAAGAATCCCCGTAAGGCTTTGAGATCCCTTGGAATAGGCCAATTGAGCATTGCTTCAATTTTCTGTGGATCGGCTGCCACACCCTGCCCCGAAATGATATGTCCCAAATATTCCAGTTGGCTTTGTCCAAAGGTACACTTTTTGAAATTGGCCACTAATTGATTCTCTTTGAGCAAAGTCAAAACAGCCTCCAAATGTCTCTTGTGCTCCTCCTCGGTTTTACTATACACCAAAATATCATCAAAAAATACCAATGTGAATCTACGTAAATATGGGCATAACACTTCATTCATTAAAGCCTGAAATGTTGAAGGGGCATTTGTAAGACCAAAAGGCATAACAACAAATTCATAGTGGCCTTCATGAGTTCTAAAGGCTGTTTTGGGGATGTCCTCTATTTTCATTCTGATGTGGTGATAACCAGCCTTCAAATCCAACTTAGAGAATATTGTCGCATCTCCTAGTTCATCCAACAATTCATCAATAATGGGTATAGGAAATTTATTTGGCAGAGTGATTTTATTTAAGGCTCGATAATCTACACAAAACCGTCAGTCACCGTCTTTTTTCTTAACAAGAATGATAGGGCTAGAGTACGGACTAACACTCGGCCTAATGACTCCGAATTGCAACATGTCATCCACTAATTTCTCAATTTCATTTTTTTGATAATGGGGATACCTGTAAGGACTAGTAATGTGTGTCCGTTGCTTCTGAAATCATGTGATAGGTGATTAGAAACCCTTCCCCTTGGTTGGAGAGTGCCTTATACATGGATTTGATAGAAGCTGGTGCTTTGGAGAGTGTGGGATCCCCTTGGGAACCTTGAGAAGCAAGTCTCCAAAGTTGGCCCGGATTTCCCCAAGTTGTGCTAGCCATTCCATTCCCAATACAATATCAACTCCACCAAGTTCAAAGACATAAAAGTCTTGTTGAATTGTAAGACCTTGAATGTCCAAGGTTAATTGACGACAAACCCCTCCACACAGAATTTTGCGGCCATCTCCCACCTCCACACTAAAAGAAGGTGTTGCAGCAACAGATAAGCCTCGTTGGTGAGCCAGGAGAGAAAAAATGAAATTGTGAGAGGCTCCACAATCGACCAAAACCAAAATGCGTTGCTCTGCCAAATATCCCCACAACTTGATAGTTTTCTTAGATGTGAATCCCGATATACTGGACATCGATAATTGAAGGGTATGGAGTGTTGATTCTGTTGTTGTTTCAATAATTGGGGCTGATTCGTCATCGTTGTCTCCTTCCATAAGCATGACATGAAATTGTTTATTGGCGCACACATGACCCGGAGCAAATTTCTCATCACAGCGAAAACACAAATTCTTGGCCATTTTGTCCTGCAGTTCCGTGTCTGTAAGGTGTCGAAAAGCTCGCCCACGAGAATTAGTTGCTGGTTTTGTGTTAGATGTCTCAGTTGTGGCAGCAATCGACGTTGTTTTGGTGTTGATTGCTTTGTTGTTGGAGTCCCACGTAACTGTGCGGTTAGAAGGGTAACCCTTGGTGAAAGTCTTAGAGGTGTTGGAGGAAGTTCCTTTGTCAAGAATGACATTCTTTTCATCAATTTTCTGGGCGAAATCCATCATCTCGGCCAAGGTTGTAACCGGATGTAATTTCAATTCTGCTTTTACCCCATCTTTTAACCCATTGAGAAAAATCCCTTTAAGATAACCTGGTTCTGCACTTCTAAGTGGGCCAGCATACAATTCAAACTTGTCACGATACTCTTCCACCGAACCCATTTGCTTAAGGCTGAGGAGCAGTTCATAGGGACTTTGTAGCATTGACGGTTGAAACCGTTTGATCAAACCAGCCTTGAAATCAGCCCAAGATGGTGAGGGGGAACAAAATTCCCACCATTGATACCAAGTGAGTGCTTTTCCTTCCATTGCTATCATGGCAGCCTGTACCTTTTCCTCGTCAGTTACACCCCATAAATCAAAGTAGCGTTCAACACGATTAATCCACCCAAAAGCGTCGTCACCCTCAAAGATGGGAATTGTAAGTTTCCTCCATTTTTCATCATGGTTGCGAAGATTCTGTCCAAATACAGGGGTACCATTGCCTATGTTGTCATTTCGGATAGTGAGACCGCGGACAGTTTCGAGCAGTTCGTCGATTCAGCGCTGCGATTCATATTTTTCAGTTTCCATCAGATTGCGCATCTCATGAATCTCTTCTCTGGTTGCGACAAAACCTTCATACGCCCTTTCCAAAAATTCCAATCTTGCTTCCATTTTGCGGCGCGTGTGGACCATAAATGCCAAGGATCGTTGTCTATGATACCAATGATAGATTCTGACTAGTAATGATAGAGAAAGGGTAGAACAATGAATACAGTATGTTATTCCAGTTATATCAGAAATAACTTCCTGCATTAACAGTTACAAACTGTAACAGCAGTTACAACACACATAAATAACTGTAAGATTAAATACAACCACTAGGATTAGAGAGCCTAGTCTCTCCCAAACCAAACCAACCAAATAACAAACTGAATGAGAGTCTTTCTCATTCTTTATTCTACTTATATACATGACATATAATTAAATAATTTGGGCCTAACTCACTAGGCCTTTGGGCCTACGCCTAGCATACACATTAGTAATTGGAGGTCTACAGCTTACTAGAAATATTTTTATTCTCTTGAGTGGCGTGGAAGCATTTAATGTCTAGAATATAATTGAAATAAACATTACAATCTTGGTCTTAATGAATTTCATTTTTATCCTGTAAAAAGAGAATACAAGTTGATTTCAACTTCGTTGTCATAAGGATGGATTTGAAGTGGAATTGTCATTCTTTCTATTCATGCACTTGCTTTGTGTGCTTATTTTTCCTTCATACCAGGCACTAGATGCGAAAGTAATTATTTTCAAGAAAAAGAGAAGGAAGAATTACCGAAGAACCAAAGGACATCGTCAGGTGTGTTGAAATAAGAAGCATCTGTTTAATCTGGCATTGTTTTCTAATAAATTATTGATATTAATTCTTCTTGATGCATGGTTATCATTTTCAGGAATTGACCAAGCTAAGGATAACTAATATCGATGGAGTTGAGAAACCTCAGCCCGAATTGGTTGAAAAGCCTTCAAAATCTGCTAAGAAAGAACAGGAAAAGGTTGCAGTTAGTGCTTAAAAACATCGTTACGGCTGGTGCTGGTGGTGGTAATTACTGTCTTTTATGTCTCAATGAGTTCTTGAATGATGGATAGAGTATGAAATGAGGGTGTTTGTATTACATAGAGGCTCCATTTTCATTTGTAGATGGAAGTAGTCAGTCATCCACTCAGTAATCAGGTTTTGTAGGAATGTCTTCAACAACAAAAGAAATCCCTTCTTTGTAATGCTGGGTTTAGTGCTTTAGCATTTGAGCATAAATCCATTGACTCTTAAATAAATAGTTTCAAGGTTTCGAATTTTAATATTTTGTTTTTGGTTGAAAACATGAAACAATATTAAGGTAATCAAATTTCATTATTTAGGAGAAAAAAGATCTGATTCAAAATCCTACATGCGATTTATGTGTCGACACATACGACTTATACGCCGACACGTACGATTTATGCGTCAAAATATGTACTGCATTTTTAAAGTCTGTAGCTATTATTTTGCATGTGTTGACACATACTGTTTTGTGGATTATTTTTTCATTTTGAAACTTCCTTCTTTTGTCTAAAAAGATTCTAACTATAAATATATCATTAATGCATCATTCTAACTTGATGATATTCTAAAATTAACCTATATTTGCTCTTCAGCCTCAATCTCCAATCTATACATAGACACTAATGTTCCATTGTAATGATCTTTTGTTAGGGGGCCATCTAGACGAGGTTTGATAACGTTCAATTAGGTTATTGTGTAACCAAGAATATTGGATTGAAAATTGTAGGAGTCTTCATCTGAAAAAATCGTAGGTTTGTCCTCCAAGATCATTGATTGATTTGAGATTTTTCGTGCAAGATATTCAAAAGAGGATTGCGACCAAGTGAAGTCATTTGGAGATAAAGAACACAAATGATCCTTTGGAGATAAAGAATGCAAAAGAAGTAGCGAGAGAACGACGAATCAAGTTGAAGTCTTGCGTTGCAATAATTGCAATTGATGGTGCGCGAAAATTTTGGAGATAAATAATACAAATGAGTAGCAAGATCCAGATAGTCAATTGATAATCTATTGTGTGTTTGATCTTGTTGCAGATCAAAAGAAGAGAAAGAGTTGAAACAACATCAAACAATTATGGTTTGTAGGATTGCTCTTGAACACTTCTATTGTATTCATACTTTTTGTAGAGTAAGAAACTATCCTAATTCCACATTGGAATTGGGCGCAGACGTACCCACATACGAGGACGAAAGTGGAGAACTGTGTAGACAAATTCTTGTGCTCTTTTCTTTTATTGCTTTACTTGCGTTAATTTTTGATCTTACCGGATCAGACTTGGACCGTCACGACTGGCTCCGAGCTGAAGTTGAACGAGATGGGGGGGGGGGGGGGGGGGGTACCTGCAAGGCACTCCGATGCTAAAGTAAGTGGCAGTACGAGCAGGCAAGAAAGTGTGTGTATGGTAAAAGAATGAATACCTGACCCTCTGAGAACATAGGGTATTTATAGCCCCCAACGCTAGGCCAAGGTCCCTTCATTGGGCCGGGCAGGTTTGACCCAATGAAGGAACTGTCAGGTTCTACGTGTGTAGTGGGGACCCACACGCGGTCTCCTTCCTGGGTGTTATGCGAGAAGTACGAACGAACAGGGACGCGGTCTTTTCGGAATCCAGGTGATGGCGTAATGGTCATAGTCTGCCCTACGAGGAGTGCTCGAGCTGAGGTCGAGCTGGACTGCATGAAGTCGAGGATGTCGTGGACACGGCTGTAGCTTCTTGGTCGGCGCGACCCCCTGCAAGGCCGTTTGGATTGGGCCTTCATCCTTGCTTTTGGGCCAGCCCGACCCAGTCCAGAACAGGAGCCCCCCAAGTTGTGGTTCCTGGAGTATGAGCCATGACTTGATCTTAGTTCGCCTCCGCCGCGAGGTCCCGTGCTCGGACAAGAGATTTAGTTCCCCGTGGTTACTCGAGGAGTTTCCCCTGTGTCGCGCTCGTGAGATAATTCCTTTCGAGGAGTGCTCGGGGGACTCTCGTCGGGCTGTGTTCGTTGAGCACACGAGGCATCCCTTGGGAATCGTGCCGCCACCCTATCGAAGATAGGGTCATCATTGCATAGGGGAGCTAGGCGTCGAGGAGGGAGGTTTGTGGTTCCCCGGGGTGACGTTTTGTATTCCACGTCATCACTATAAATATGGTCCTTGGGCCCCAAAATATGTTTTTCCTCTTCGCGCTTCTCCTCCTTCCTCTGTCTCTACTGCTGCTGTTTTTCATAGGACTGTCGTGCTCTCCGCCGCTGATTCTCTTCTCCGCCGTCGTATCTCTTTCCTGATTTCAAGTAAGTATCTTATCCCTCATGTTTTTCTTTTGTGGTATGTGATATTTTCCATTGTTTTGTACGTTAGAGACTGTGCGTCTGGGATTAGCCCCGGTAGATTCGTATTTTGGCTCGGCAAATCCATGTTTATGCCCAGCAAACGCATGTTTGTGCCCGATAAATGCATAGTTTAGGTATTTGACTCGCAGTGCTGCCCGGGATCTTCATGATTCAGGGCGCCTAATTCGTGATAGTGCCCGGTAAATTCATAGTTCTAGTTTTAGGATTTATGATATCGCTCGCCATGTTCATAGCCTAGGTCGACATATTCGTGACTGGCCGGGATGTTGGCCCATTTAGGCGATCTGTAGGAAGACTTGTCGCGGTATCTGGGCGTCGGGGAGGCGACTCCACTCTTTTGTTCGAAACTTCAACTTTTTAATCGTGTGTGGAGTGTGACTCGGTTGGTCGTGCCCTTCTTCCCGTCAGTTATGGCGAGCGTGTGGATTTGCTCCCCAATTGACCGGCTTCCTGTGCTTTGCAGGTAACAATGGCGAATGAACCGTGTTCCTCGGGGCGCAATGAGGTGGAAGATCAAAGCGCCGAGGAGAATGTGAATCTGGTCGATACCATCGACGATCCTCTGCTGGAGTGGGTGGGCGCCGAGCCCAGAGGTATTGCTTCTGCTTACAGTCGGCGCAGCTGGAGTGTGTATATTATCGTCGAGCAGGGCGGTAGTCAGCCCGACTTTCAGAAAAACTTCATCGTCACCAGACCGACTCTAACCGCGCGGATCTGCTCGGAGTTCCCCGAGTACGGGTTTCCCATGTATGAGATCGCTTTCAAGGACCTTAGACTAAAGCTCCCCTTTAGTGATTTTCAGGTCGGGGTCTTTAGTCATCTGGAACTGGCCCCGTCGCAACTTCACCCCAACTCGATCGCTTTCCTCCGGGCGTTCGAACTGACGTGTCGCTTTTAAATATTGGGGCGACCATACCTCTCTTCTTCAGAGTCTTCCATTTACAGCGCCAGTCTCGGGGAGGTAGGCACAGTTGGGTTTCCCTGAAACAGTCGAAGAGACTGTTTAGGATGTATATGGATTTTGTCCGGGGGTTCAAGGACAAATGGTACATCGTGCGGTCGGTTACCAAAACTGGTCTAGAGTCCGTATACGAGGAAGAAACGATGGTGACCGACGATCATGGGGAGGCTCTTCTAGACGATGAGGGACGCCCGGTGTTGGGGCGTGTGGCCAAATTTCCTTTGCATTGGACCTCGCGTCACTACGAGCCCGGGACCGGGCACTACCATACGCCTGCGGGTGGGATGAGTACCGAAGATGAGGAGGCCTATGGTACCCTCTGCAGATACGTCGATAGTTTCTTCCCTGCCCGGTGGGCCACGAGGGAGGGAAAGGATATTCTCGACGAAGATGGTTATCCGACCTTTGAGGCCCGGCCTATCGATACGAAGGCGCTCGTGGAGTTCCAGTCCTTCGGGCAGGCCAAGAACCTGCTAGGTCATTACTTTTTTCTTTTTGTTTGATTTTCTTCGCTTGTTTATTTGCTCGTCACTAACCCGGGGTTCTTTTATGCAGGTCTCATGGCTGGACGAAAGGAGAGGCTCTTGAAGCTGACACAGGATAAGAAAGTCAATAAGAGAGTGGTGCGAGCTCCTCAGGCGACGAGGATGGGCCCGCCAACTAGCCCGGGCGATGCTTCTGGAGGGTCCCCGGATGCTCAGTATGTTGAGCCGCATACTGACCTGATACCGAGGAAGAGGAACCGGGTGGAGAGCCAACCGGAGGTCGGCGAGGACTCTAGTGCGGTGAGGTCCTTCGGGTTGCCCCCTTGTTTTAAAGAGGAGGGTTTCTTCGAGGGATTTCCCTTGTCCGTAAGCGCTGGCGAAGCTGATACCATTAGGCGGCTGAGCAAGGAGAATCGGAGAAAGCATCTGGCCGCCAACATGGTCAGGATGGTCAAAATGGCCGAGATGGCCGTTGTGTTGGCCGAGGAGGGGGCAGATTCTGATCGCATCAAGGAGCTGGAACAGGAGAAAGCTGCCCTTACTGCGAGCTCACGAAAGTTGAAGGCTGCCCTGGAGCGCTCCGAGGAGATGTTCCGCGAGCAAGCCGAGCTGCTGGCCGCGGAGAAAGAGAACTCGGGGAAGATTGCCGAGGAGAGGGAGTACTTCCGTGAGGACCGGGAACGCTTGGAAAATGACAACGGCGCCTCACCAAAGAGGTCGAGGAACTAAAGGCCGCCATGCTCCCTGCCGAGGACGAGTCGGAGGAGACAACTCCTTTGCGGAGTCGGTCAGAACTGGTTGCTCGTATTCAACTCCTCGAGGCCGACTGTGTTGGTGCCTTGGCGGATGGCTTTGAAGCCGCGGTTAGCCAGCTCACTCTGTTAAATCCTGATCTGAATACTGAAGAAGTGGGCTACATGTCTCAGATCATCGACGGCCAGGTCATGCCCCCGCCTGAGTCTCCTGTTGTCGGCGGTGATAGCCCCGGGGAAGTCTAGCTGTGAGATTCTAGTAGGTCCTGCGCGCCTTTATTTATGGTTGTTTTGGGGCCTGTGTGCCCGTGCATATTTTACTTTTTGGGCCTGCGTGCCCGTTCTTTGTAATTCCTGAACATCGCCGGCCTTCTTGGTCTGTTTATCTCTATTTGTTTTGTTGCCCACGGGCTTTCCGAATGAATGTTTGTTTCGACTTT